ACTTATTTATTCATGAGAGACACACACACACACACAGAGAGAGAGGCAGAAACATGGGCAGAGGGAGAAGCAGGCTCCATGCAGGGAGCCCGAGGTGGGACTCAATCCCGGGTCTCCAGGATCAGGCCCTGGACTGAAGATGACGTTAAACTATTGAGCCACCCGGGCTTCCCTAACATTTGCTTTATAGGCTCATCTTTCTGGTTGCCTGGGAGTTTTCTGCTCCTTATTATCTTTTTCCCTTATAACAACTCTGCTTGGGGTGTGACTTCAACATGTTTTATTGTTCACATTCAAGCAAGATGAATTTTTCTATACTTTTATGCTGGAAGGTGGGTCAAAATAGTTTTTATCACTTCATGGCTCTTGAATTCCTTTTGCTGTTTTCACAAAATGATTGAAAAAATATATATGGTCTCCTACTTTCTTTTTTTTAACATTTTATTTTTATTAAAAAAAAGATTTTATTTTTATTTACTTGAAAGAGAGAGAGAGAGTGTGTGTGCATGTGCACCTGAGTAGGGGGAGGGGCAGAGGGGGAGGAGAGAGAGAAACCTAAGCAGATTCCCCCGCTGAGTGCAGAGCTCAGTACAGGACTCAATCCCATGACTCCGAGATCATGACCTGAGCTGAAACCAAGAGTTGGATATGCAACTGACAGAGTCACCCAGGCGCCCCGTCTCCTACTTTCTGATAATTGTTTTCTCTTTCTTTTCCCTCTGTGGTTCCAGTCTTGTTTAGTTTGCTTCTACTACAGCAGCTTCTCCTCAGGCAGACCCTCTGCCTTGGAGGAGAGTGTTCATTTATTCATTTTGAGAGTCCTCAAAACCCAAAACTCTTTGGCACCATGCCTTTCCTTGGCTACCTTTCACTCACGCATAAGCTGGAGCTTGCCAAACCAAGTCTGTAATACTCATCTGAGTGAAAGTTCTCAGACTGATTGGCCCTCCCGACTTCCCTATGAGACACTGGTGATGTGGGAATTTTGCAGACCCATTTCCTCCCTTCCCATTTCTCTTACACCATTGTTGATAACCCCACACACTCAGATGTGTGGTATTTTCATCATACTCGTTTCAGAACACTTCCTAATCTCCATTGTAATGTCTTCTTTGTCCCATGGGCTAATTATCAGTGTTTTTCTTGATTTCCAAATACATGGGGATTTTCTAAGTCATTTATATGATTTCAGTTCTTTGAAACTTGTTGAGACTTGCTTAAAAGTCCATAAAATGATCTGTTTATATAAATATTCTATGCATGACTGTTGAGTACTGCATTCTGTAACATCAGTTCAGTCATCTTATGATAGTGGTGTCATCGAATCTTCTATAGCCTTACTGATTTTTTTCTTACTTATTTTGTAAGATTCTGAGTGAGGTATGTTAAAATCTTCTCCTGTGTATATTTGTCTCTTCCTTCTTTTCATTATGCCAAGTTTTACTTTGTGTGCTTTTAAACTGTTAAGTGTACCTGTATCCAGATTTTTCTATTCTGGATAGAATTTTCTATTCTATTTTTTTCTTTTTTCTTTTTCTATTTTTTTTCTTGTTGAATTGAGCCTTTTATAATATTAATGTGTCCCTATTATCTCTAATAAAATCTACTTGGTCTAAAATTAATGTAATTATACATATTGTATTATACATATATGTATTAATACAGAATTAATTATACATATGTAATTATACATAGTGTTCACATGATATATATATAGTTTTATTGTCATATATATACTATGTCATATATATACTATATAAAACTATATATATATAGTTTTATTGTCATTTTATCCCTGTCTCTTACTATATTTTTGTATGTTCTATACTCCCCCCATACTTAAATTTTGATATTTTATATTGAATTAATCTTTTAAAAAAATTTTGTGTCCAGGGTGCGGGACTGGCTCAGTCCAATAAGCATTTGCCTTGGGCTCACGTCATGATCCCAGGGGCCTGGGACTGAGTCACTTCGCATATGCATCATGCATCATCTCTGACCAGGCAGCCTGCTTCTCCCTCTCCTTCTGTCCCTCCTTCCTGCTTGTGCTCTCTTGTTCTCTCTCTCACTCAACAAATTAATAAAAATCTAAAACAAAAAACCCAAAAAACTTGTGTCCAATCTGTTGTTAATCCACTGTTAGCACTGAGCTCCTAATTCCATGTTTTATAGTTGCCATTTCTCTGGGGAAATCCTTAATCTTGTCTTTTATATCCTTAAATGTAGTTATTTAGAGTCTGTGGCCTGACAGTTTCATAATCTGGAGATCGATGGGTCTCTTTCTTCATTGTTTGTGCTTTCTCTAGGGCTTTGTTTATGCTGTATTACTGCCTTGTTTGCTTGGTTATTTTAAAGTTAGCATTTGAAGAATGTATTGAAATGGTTAAAAATAATTGTTGGAAAAAATCTGAGGCTCAGGATACCAACATTCAGGAATCGCCTTAATCCAATTTGATTGACAGTGATGATTTGAAGCTGGGCCACTGGGCTTGTCAGGGCTGGTCTGTTTCTTGTTTCACTCTGAGAGTGAGGACCCATCTCCAAGTGTGGTTTACCAGCAAGCCCAGGCCGCAGTCACATGAGGATGTCAAAAGTACTGCATGGCTTCTTGACCACTTCTTTCAGGACTGGCAAACATCTTGAATAGGTAGAGCAGCTCCAAATGCCAGGCTCCTCTGTCTTGAGGCCTGCATTTTTTCTCTGCCTGTGATGCCTTTAAGCAGATATTTTCTCTTTTCTGGCTTTTTTAGTGGTCTGGGAAATTTGATCTGAATTATTTCATTTCCATTTTTTGTTTTTGTTTTTGTTTTTGTTTTATGATAGTCACAGAGAGAGAGAGACAGGCAGAGACATAGGCAGAGGGAGAAGCAGGCTCCATGCACCGGGAACCCAACGTGGGATTCGATCCTGGGTCTCCAGGATCGCACCCTGGGCCAAAGGCAGGTGCCAAACCGCTGCGCCACCCAGGGATCCCTATTTCATTTCCTATTACAGGGATGTCTGATTTACATTTTGACAGATAATTTTGTTAAAACATAAGGGGGAAGGCAGATGTGGGGCACCGAGTAGGAGACCGTTGCAATAACCCAGGTGAGAGATGCTGGTGGCTTGGATCTGGGCACAACATAGTGAAGGTAGGAAGGGAGCCATTTTGGGGGGCAGAGATGTGAAGGAAGTGCAGGTTAGGTCATGTTAAGAGTAAAATGCCTTGGGATGCCTGGGTGGCTCAGTGGTTGAGCGTCTGTCTTCGTCTCAGGGCATTATCTGGAGATCCTGGGATCGAGTCCCACACTGGGCTCCTTGTAGGGAGCCTGCTTCTCCCTCTGCCTATGTCTCTGCCTCTCTGTGTCTCTCATGAATAAATAAATAAAATCTTTAAAAAAAAAGAGTAAAATGCCTCAAATAAAAACTTAAGAAACAAACCAATAAAGTAAAACAAAAGTGAAATGCCTCTTAGATATCCAGAGGAGGTATCTTGTGGATGGCTGGGGATATGTCTGGAGTTTAGGGGACAGTATGAGCTGGAGATAAAACTTGCGGTTATCATTGTGGAGGTTGCATTTAAACTCTGAGCCTAGGTCAGGTCATCTGAGAGAAGATATAGGTGCACAAGGAACAGCAGACTGAGCCAGAGGCCCCCAAAAGCATGAGGTCAGGGAGGTTCCGGGAAACCAGAGCGTGGTGGTGGCGTCAGCGGCGGTGGTGGGAACTTGTCTTCTGGAAGCCGAATGCAGAAAGCACTTCCAGATGCAGGGGAAAATGGGCCAGTCAAAATGAGGTTTTTGTGATGGGAATTAAAAAAATATATATCATTTTCCAGTTTGTCTTGTTTTTGCTTAGGGTGTTTTAATCTTATGAAGCATCTGTGTTTTTCTACGCCTGACTGTGACCATCTTAATGTGTCATGCTGCTGGCCTTTGCCCCTTTTCCTGTTCCAACATTATGTGTGTCCATGTTGTAGCCATGTGTGCCTATGGGTAAGCCCAGAGCAAGGACATGTGGCTCGGAGGAGAGTGGGAGCCCAGGGTGGAGTGCTCAGGCTGAGGGTGCCCAAGCTGAGGGAGGGTGCTGAGGTCAGAGGTCCCATGGGGTAGAGGAGGGGAACCAGGCCCACCCCCTCCTTGGGCCTTGGTTTCCCTGTCTGTAACTGGTATAAATACTTGCTTCCTTGGAGGGCTTGGGAGGACTCCTGAGTGCAGAAAGAGGGAGCACCCAGTGAACTGTGCAGGGCGGTGCCCTAGGAACAGGGTCATTTCCTCAACACAGGCCAGTCTGACTAGCACCTTGGAACTAAAAGGCCCACCCCGGGATCCCTGGGTGGCGCAGCGGTTTGGCACCTGCCTTTGGCCCGGGGCGCGATCCTGGAGACCCGGGATCGAATCCTACGTCGGGCTCCTGGTGCATGGAGCCTGCTTCTCCCTCTGCCTGTGTCTCTGCCTCTCTCTCTCTCTCTCTCTCTCTCTCTCTCTCTGTGTGACTATCATAAATAAATAAATAAATAAATGGCCCACCCCTTGGTGCCCACGGGGCCCTAGGTGGGGCTGAGGAGGCCCTTAGCCCAAGCCTGTGGTAGCAGGACAAGATCCTAAGGTCACCTGAAAAAGTCCAGTCTTAAAAGGACTGGGGCCCACGTGTCCCTGATGAAATGGGGTGTGGGGGCTACCTAGGCTGGGCTCCGGGACTGCTGGGAGGACCTGGGGGTCTAGAAGGGCCCGGGGATTAATGGCCGCAAAAGCACGGTGCAAACTGAGAAGTACCTTGTATAAGGTAAGGGGCGGTGTAAATGGTGTGACAATTTGCAATCTGTAGAGGGCCATGGACCTGTAAGCAGCTGGACTTGAGGGGGTAGCCCAGTGTGGTGTCTGACCTCACGCAGGCTTTGGTGGCAGCAGATGGTCACCCACCTGTCACCATTCCCTAGTAAATGCCAGGCGAGCAAACCCATGTTGGGAGGCTGTGGCCGGGGAGCCAGGCCTCTCATTCTGTGCTGTGTCCCCTAGAGCCATCCTCCAGAAGCGTGGCTCACCCGTGGATGCCACCATCGCGGCTCTGGTCTGCACCGGAGTCGTTCACCCTCAGAGCATGGGCCTGGGCGGAGGAGTCATCTTCACCATCTACAATGCAACCACGGGTAAGTCCAGATAGGGGACCCCATGGGGAGGATGGGATTAAATTGACACGAGATAAATTAACAGAACAAAATCAGATTTTGTCCCCTACATCTGGGGACATGAAATCCCAAAGACAGGCAGGCAAAATGAGCTAAGGGGAAGGGAGTAGGGGTCTGGAACTTCGAAGGGAAAGAATGCAATTCACAGGAAAAGAAAGAAGAGCAAATGTTTGCTAAACAAATATGCGTGAAGGGCTAGAGAGTGGGGGGCTGGGGGGTGGGGGGAGCACTGGGAAACAATGGGGCACAGAGGACTTTGACCAAGCCCTTGTCTGTCTGCCCTACCTAGTTCATATCCTGCTCTAGTTATCTATGGCGATAGCTCTCTTCCTGGAGCAGGTCCTCTAAGTTCTCTCAGGCAGTAGTAGGGGTGAGGTAAAAAGCTCTTCCGGATTCTGCTGGGTTTTAATTGCTTTTAACTCAAAAATAATCTTCATGCCAAAGTGGCCCATCTTTGGGTGGCCTGCTGTTGGCCCCTACAGCGCAGAGGCCAGCTCAAGTACAGAGAGAGGTCTAGAGCAGGGCCAGGGCCACATGAGGGCGCGCTATGGTGGCGGGAGGCCTGGCAGCCACAGGAGTGTCCCTGAGCACTCACATGCCCTGCTCCAACTCCAGGGAAGGTGGAAGTCATCAATGCCAGGGAGACAGTGCCCACCAACTACATCCCAGATCTGCTGGACCAGTGTGAGCAGGCCCAGCCACTGGGCACAGGTGAGGCCCTTGGAGGAGCCACCATTGCCCACCCCACCAGGCCACTGCGGCTGACCAGAGCACTCCCCTGAGGGGGCTCTGTGGACAGGCTGACACCCCGGTGCCAGGGGACGGCAGCTAGCAAATGGGGAGCCCCCATGGAGGAGGTCCTGACCCGCTGGAGTTGGGGGAGTCTTCCTTGGAACAGGGCTTTCTCAGTAGGGAGTGGTGATCCAAGCAGAGGGACCAGCCTGGCCAAGAGCTGGAAGGTCAGTGGAGATGGGGTAGGGGGTGGGGTGGGGGATCCCGGGGCCAGTTTGGGTTGGGCCCTGAGGGAAGGCAATGGGGAGCCATGGGGGAGGTTGAGCAGGGAGGGACATGGTCAGATGTGGCCTCCAGAGAGCTCATTCTGGCTACCATGCCAGGGGGGCCGAGCTGGTGGGGCAAGTGTGGGGGTGGTGGAGAAGCCCTGGGGCAGGCCACGGGCCGGGGCAGGGGCATGATGCCACTGTGCCTTGCAGGGGCCCAGTGGATCGGAGTGCCCGGTGAGCTCCGCGGCTACGCAGAGGCCCACCGCCGCCACGGCCGCCTGCCCTGGGCACAGCTGTTCCGGCCCACCATCGCCCTGCTCCGAGGGGACTACCGCATGCCCTCCGTCCTCAGTCAGTTCCTGCAGAATGACTTCCTCAGGCCTTCCTTATCCAAGACGTCCCTGAGGTGAGCACTTCGCCAGGGGGCCCCTGGGCTCCCGCTTGGCTCCTGGCTTCGAGCTGTGGCTCCCACCCAGTTCCACCTCAGCCCCTCCTTGAGCTGGAGGGTTGACCCTGTGGGGGTGTCGGGGGCCCGAAGGCCAGGAAGGCCAGTACTTTGTCACAGTTCATAGACCTTTGAGCTAGGGGACAAAACCTAATCAGAGCGGCTCAGGCCAGAAGGGGCTTAAACCCAAAGGATGGGCTCCAGGATGTGGATGTGGCCTCTGCCGCCACCCTCTGGCCCTGCCCTTCTCACTCCCTCTGGGCTGGCAGGAGGGCTTGGGCCACCCTCCCTTCACCTCCTGCCAGCCCACTGGCCGTGTCTTCCCGGAGGGGTCCCAGGCCCGAGTAGGGAGTGTGCTTTCCCTGGGCCCAGGTGATGAGAGAGCTGAGAGTCTTCAGACCCACCCAATCCTAGAGGAACCATCTCTCCTGATGTCTACACCAGCCCCTCAGGACCCCAGACCAGGACAGCCTCCCCGTAGGGTCCCCAGGAACCTACAAGAGCCCCTGCAGGAGTGTGGCTACCTTCCGGGGCCTGGCCCCACCCTGAGGCTGCCCCCAACTCCCCAGGCAGCTCTTTTTCAACGGCACAGAACCCCTGAGGGCTCAGGACCCATTCCCCTGGCCCGCACTGGCCGCCACCCTGGAAACCGTGGCCACAGAGGGTGCAGAGGCCTTCTACACGGGGACGCTGGGCCAGACGCTGCTGGAGGACATTGCCAACCAAGGTCAGCTGTGCTGAGGTCCCGGAGCCCCCAGCCCTGCCCGAGAACGAGGTGGGCTCTGGGTGCTAGGAGCGAGGGCAGACCCTTCCTGAGCCCTGCGGGAATGTCAACTGCTCCCAGGACTTGGGGGGGCCGTGCATCCAGGCCTGTCCCCTGCTGGCCTCAAGGACCCCACTGTCAGGGGTCAGGGCCCATGAAGAGCAGAGCCCCAGTAAATGAGGGAGTTAGTGGTGGCCACGGTGGGCCGCAGCGGGCTCCTGGGCCTGGAGCTGGCCACCCTCACAACCTCAGAGGGCCAGCTTCCCCTCTCACCTTCCCATCCTCTTCCCACCAACTGCCTGCCTCTGGCCACCCATCCCTCACAGACCCTTCATCACCCCTAGGGCTCTAGCAGGCGAGGGGGGGCGGTGTGGAGAGCCCCACCACGCGACCTGGGGTCAGGGGCGGTCCCTCGGCCTCAGTGTTTCCATCCCTACACGGGGTCTCCTCTGTCTCTCCTCAGGCAGCCGGCTGACCCGGCAGGACCTGGCTTCGTTCCAGCCCGAGGTGGTGGAGGCCCTGGCGATGCCCCTGGGGAGCTACACCCTATACTCACCGCCGCCGCCTGCAGGGGGCGCGATTCTCAGCTTCGTCCTCAATGTGCTCAGAGGTCAGGCTCCCAGCCCCCCCACCCAGAGTCGGGCCCCACGGGAACTCCAGAGCCCAGCTGTAGCTCTGGGCAGCCTTCCTTTTCTGGCTCGCCCCGGCCCCCCCCCCCCCCGACTCCAAAGATGGGGCTGCGGACCCGGGTCAAGACCCTGCGTTCTGGAGCTGGCCTCTGGCGCAGGCCAAGACATCCTCCCTGCAGCAGGCTGCGCAGGGGGTGAGCGCCGCCAGTGCGCAGCCAGGTGCCTGGCCTGCAGAATGGCCTGGGGGGTCCAGGGAGAGGCCGACTGACAGTTCCCTGTCACCACCGCAGCAAGTCAACACAAACTTGTGGCTTAGAGCAACAGAAACCTATTTTCTCCTAGTTCTGGAGGCCAGAAGTCCAAAATCCAGGTGTCCGCTGACCCATGCTTCCTCCGGGGACTCTGGAGGACAATGTGTTCTTTGTCTCATCCAGCTCTTGGTGGCGGCCAGCATCCCAGGCTGGCTGCATCATCCCCGTCTCTGCCTCCTGCTCACACGGCCTCCTCCTCTTCTCTGTGTGTCCATTTTATAAGACTACATTTAATTGTGTGATTACGTTTAGAGCCCATCCAGATAATCCAGGATAATCTGCTCTTCTCAAGATCCTTAACTTAATCACACATTTTGCCATATAAGGTAAAATTCACTCTTTTGCCAAGGTCGTGGTCGCAGGTTCTGGGGATTAGGACATGGACAAATCTTTTTTGAGGGGGGCCAACATTTCTACCCACTACACTGGGTGACCCCCACCTGTGCCCACCCCCTCCCCAGGGTTCAACTTCTCCTCGGAGTCGGTGGTCAGGCCCGAGGGGAGTGTGAACTTGTACCATCACCTTGTGGAGACGCTCAAGTTTGCTGGGGGACAGAGGTGGCGGCTGTGGGACCCCCGCAGCCACCTGGAGATCCAGGTGAGGTGGTCTGTGGCTAGTGGCCAGCCCCCTTCCGGGCCCCAGGGCTCAACATGAAGGGAAGGCCAGTGGCGAGTACTAGAGGGACAGTGTTGGCACCGTATCTCAGAGGAGCGGGAGGATGGGCAGGGTCTGGGGGTGGCCGAGCTTGAGGACAGACTGGAGAGGGCCTCCCAAGGTGACCCTCTTCTCTGTGGGTGCCGTCACCTGCCCGGCCACTCCAGAACGCTTCCCAGGACCTGCTGGGAGAGGCTTTGGCCCAGCATATCCGCCAGCAGATCGACACTCGGGGTGACCACCAGCTCAGCCACTACGGCCTGGATGGGCCCTCGGGCCACAGGATGGGCACGTCGCATGTGTCTGTGCTGGCGGAGGATGGCAGTGCTGTGGCAGCCACCAGCACCATCAACACACCGTATGTGCCTGCCTGTCCCCAGGCCCCACTCCTTTGCTCCCTCAGCTTGTTTTACAAAACACCCGGTCTCTCCTTGCTTGTGTCCATGGGGCAGTACCTTGCTTTTTCCCTGGCCTTCCTGTCTGTCAGAGGGACCATCCACTCTGTCATCTCTGGCTGGAAGGCCTCCGATGGGTGGCCCTGAGCCAGGATCTGCTTGGGGATGAGCTTTATCCAGAAGGACACCCTGATGGGGGGCACAGGTGGATCCTTGGGGGCACACAGGGAGAGAATAGTGACTCCAGCACGCTAGCAGGCTGCCACTAAAATGAGGGGCTCCTGGAAAGTGGTGCTCAGGCACCTGTGAGGGGTAGGAGACTGGAGCCTGCAGCCTGAGCCCAGACTCCCCTCTGTCTGCAGCTTTGGAGCAATGCTGTACTCACCACGCACAGGCATCCTCCTCAACAACGAGCTTCTGGACTTATGCTGGAGGCGCCCCCTGGGCTCGAAAGTCACCCCCCAACCTGGTGAGCCTGAGGACTCCACTGGTGAGAAGAGGGAAAGTGGGCAGGCCAGGCGCTACAAAGCAGCCCTTGGGCCAGCCCCAGTTTGCACAGCAGTGGATGGAGACTCAGATGGAGGGGTGGTCTAGAGGGTGCTGGGTGGAAGTGAGGCTGCAGGTGACACCCATCCGGCCTCTAGTTCCAGGTGAGCGGCCTCCATCATCCATGGTTCCCTCCATCTTCATCAACACAGCCGAGGGGTCAAAGCTGGTGATAGGCGGGGCCGGTGGGGAGCTCATCATCTCTGCTGTGGCACAGGTGAGTCAGGGAGCTCCTGGCTGGAACATCCCCTCCAGGGGATGGGAGGTGTTCGTGTAGGGACACTGGTGTCCCCTCCCTCCCCTCCTGTGTTTTCCTTTTTTCCCCTAGGTTATTATAAAGAAGTTGTGGCTTGGCTTTGACCTGAGGACTGCCATTGCAGCCCCTATCCTACATGTCAACAGCAATGGCCAAGTGGAATATGAACCCAACTTCAGCCAGGTAAGACCACTGTCCCTGTCTCCACTAGGACAGATGCCTTGGTGCCTGCTGCTCAGAGCCCCCCATGGGGTCTCAGCTCTCCAGTGTCTTAGGCTGGGCACACTTCCCCTTCTGGCGCTGTCAGGAGTTCAGAAGCTCAGCGGGGGAGGCACCAGGCCAATCCTGTGGCCTCCAAGGCAGGAAACAGGGTGTTATCCATGCTTCTCCCAGGCCAAACACCTCTGCACCTTGGTCTCTGCTCTGTCCTATTCTCTCTAGAAGCTAGTTTTCCTTCCTGTGGCCTCTCAGACTCTCCCACATGGTGATCTTTTTCCCTGTGTAATTTGTAACCTTTATGTGTCAGTTTATTTGTAAGAGTATTCTGTGACAGTTTGCATAGCAATTTCCTTCTGCAGCATGGGTGTTGCATCAGTGCTAGTTCTTAGGAACATTTCCTGGTTTCCACACACACACAGGCAGGTCCCCAGAGCTAAACTCTCTTGTCTGACTCCCTGCCCCCATGGCCCTGTCCCAACAGACAGTCACCTCCCTCAGAGCTTCTCTGGGCTGGCAGGTACCCTTTGCTGAGGTCTAATTTAAAAGCCTGGCAGGAGGACGCCTGGGTGGCTCAGCGGTTGAGTGTCTGCCTTTGGCTCAGGGCGTGATCCCAGGGTCCTGGGATCGAGTCCCGCATTGGGCTCCCTGCAGGGAGCCTGATTCTCTCTCTGCCTGTGTCTCTGCCTCTCTCCGTGTATCTCTTATGAATAAATAAATAAAATCTTTTAAAAAAGTAAAAATAAAAGCCTGGCGGCATGTCGAGGCCCTGAGCCTCATGCCTGGCATCGATTCAGCCAGCTGGGGTCTAAGGTCCTCAAAGTTGCCTTTCCTGTGGTGAGGCGCTCTTCTTGTCAAGGCTGCCTCCCCTGGCCCTTAGAGCACCACAGTGTGAGGAACCTTTACTCCAGAGGAGTGTGTGTGTAGCCCCTGTGAACCATAGTCTTGGGGGCTGGAGATGAAGGATTTTCAGAGTCCCTGCTATGGGATCCTCCCCATGGCAGAAAGATGGAGAGTATTCCCTCAGGGCTCATCTTGGATCTTTCCTGAACCTTGACTGAGGTTTTTACTTTGTGGACAATTCTCTGAGGACTCGGAGAAGCCAACGACCAACTGTAAGGCCAAGATCCTCAGCTGGCTTGGAGTGTTAGTGTTGGCCGTACATCCAGGGCCTTCTATGACTAGCATCTGGGTGGAGGCCTTGACTGTCCAAAGGCCTTCATAGGCAAGCCCAGGGACTAAGGCCAGAAGGGTCCTCCTCCCTCAGGGCCTCGGAATTTGGCCACTAGATACTAAGGCACAGAGTCTTCTATGACCACTGGTCCTATTGTTGTCTCAGCCATGGGGACCTTGGCCTTCAAATCTAAGGACCCTGGACAATTAGTGCATCAGAGAAACATAACCCAAGGGTGCTCTGGAGATCTCACCCTACCCATGTGACATCAAGTATGAGGCCCTGGTCCTATGGATTGCAGAGCATCAGGGTCTTTGTACATAGAAATCACTGGCACCTAGGGCCCTTGTGGGCTGAGATCCTTGGCCTGGGGCTGGTCCAAAATGTTAAGTGAAAATGTGAGGCCCGAGTAGCACAGGCCTCTACACTTCAGAATCCATGTAAAGGTTATAGACTGGCAAATATGTGAGCACCCTAACACTCTAAGAACCCTGTGGGTTCTTAGAAACCCACACCTAGGTCCCTGATGTCTTCAAATTCCACAGACTCGCTCTCTGAGACCGGAGCCACATGCACTGAGCGCCTCACCGTCCAGGAGCACTGGTGCCTTTAACCTGGGCATCAATGTCCTTGAACTCATAGGCATTCAGAGAAAATGGGATCTGAAGCTTTGGATCCTCCTTTCAGCTGCTTCCTCAACCAATGGGGCCCTAAGCTTTTAGGGCCTCAGACCCTAAGAAGTTTACCATTTTCTTGGCAGCCAGGGTCTCTAGTCTTCTCTGGTCAGTGTTGAGGTGGAAGGTCTTATGTAGCTCAGCTGCTGGTACCAGGACCTTCCTCCTCCCTGTCCCAGGGTCCCTGGGCACTGAGACCCTGAGGCAGGGAGCCAGATGTTGAGTTGGGCAGTTCCTATGTATGGAGGAGCTGAGACTTACTCCAAAGGCCCCAGGTTCTACCTTCTAGAAGGCTTTGCTTTCAAGGTCCTCAAAATTAGAGGTCTGTCAGCCTAAGTTCCCAGCAGCCATTTCTCTGCCAAAGCCCCTAGAGTCCTCAGATGTTGTGCTCAGGCCCTGGTGTCCTTGGATCCAGGCCAGAAATGATCTTGCATTTCGAGCTCCTTCTGGCCTGACTGGTGTCCTCCCCGTTGTGCTCCCTGGAGCCTGGCTCCTCCACTGAACTTTCTGTGGGAGACCACAGACTCCATGCCCTATAGACAGGCCTGCCTCCAGTGCTGTCCCACTGTCACTGCCACTGACGCCCAGTCCTGCTGGCTCCGTTGGGGCTCAGGTCTCTGCCTGTGGCCTTGCCCCCTAGACAGGTGGAGCTAAGCTGTCCTCACCTGTGCACTGGCCTTCTTTTCCTTCCAGGAGGTGCAGAAGGGGCTCCAGGACAGGGGCCACAACCAGACTGAGAGGCTCTTCTTCCTGAACGTGGTCCAGGCCGTGTCCCAGGACGGGGCCTGTGTGTATGCCGCAGCGGACCCGAGAAAAGGTGGGGAGGCCTCAGGCTACTGAGCAGACTGCTCCTGAGAGCTGCAGTCTGGCCCCCCATCAGCCTGTGCGCAGGCTGGCCTTGGCCACAGGACCAAGCATTCGAGCAGGATCTGGACCCTTCGGCAGAGGGTTGGCCTGAGGCTGCAAGAGGTGTGGACAGCTTGAAAGTCGGATGACTGTGAGGGATGAGCCATCTCCCAGAGCCCCTTGCAGCCCTTCCCTGGCCCCCCAAGCCTTCACTAAGCCTCTCACCCAGGACTGTGGCCCACCTTCCCCCCAGGCCACACTCCCCATCTGTATACCCTTTAGTCCAAGATTAAAGAGCAGGGTGGACCTCAGCCTGATTTGGGGTCTAAGTGTGGGAGGGGACCCCTAGAAAGCACACACACTGAGCTCCTACAGTCCTCCACAACACACCAGCACGGAGGTGTGGAAACAGACCTAGCGACTGGCTGGCCTTGCCCAGGCCACCCCTGGACAGAGGCAACACCCTTACCACCTGCCAGGCCTCTACAATGCGGCTCTCTGGGCCCTGCCTGTTGCTGGGAAGGCAGGGCTGGGGTCAGGGGACACTTGCCCCTGACTCTTACCAGGGCTGAGGACCATCTCTGGATCTTGTCCTCTGTGCCTGGAAAAAGGTTGGATGAAATCAGACCTAAGACTCCACCCTGATCCCCAGCCCCAACAATTGCCCGTGTTCTCACCCTCAGCACTGTTGACATTTTGAGTGAAATAGTCTTTGTGGGGGGGCTATCCCCACGTTGTAGTATGTCGAGCAGCATCCCTGGCTTCTACTTGCAAGATGCCCCCTCTACCACCACCAGTGTCCAAATCATCCCTAGTTGAGAACTGATATTCTCAACAGTTTCTGAGAAGGCTTTGCCAGTTGCTGGGTGGGCTGTCCTTCCTGGTGTGCCTCACTGGACTGACCTGGGGATCCTGCCCCACACTGGCTCCTGGGAGCATTGGGTATTATCCAAATGTCCCACAGGGGCATACCTCCCCCTGTCAGAGTCTGAGGATTGGTCTCACTGCTGAGCCATGGCTGCCCCCTCTGCTTGGCCTACTTGGCCAAGCAGGATGGGAGTGGATATTATTTCCCTGTGGCTGCTGAGACAAATTACCACAGAGTGCCTTAAAACTACAGAAATCTATGCTCTCACAGGCTAGGAGTCTGAAATCAGTAGCACTGGGCTGAAAGCAAGGTGTAGGCTGGACTGAGTTCCCTCCGGAGGCTCTAGGGAGAATCCTTCCTTCTTCTGCCCACTTCTGGTGGCTGCTGGAGTCTCTCGGTTTGTGGCCACATCACTCCAGTTCCTCCCTCTGTGGTCATGTGGCTTCTCCTCTGTGCCTGTGAAGGCTCCTTCTGTTCTGGGAAAGTCTGGGCGGTGAGGGGGTAAGGACACCTGTGGGCACATAGGGCCCATCCAGATAAATCCAGGAGTCTCTTGTCTCAGAAGAAATCACAGTGGGGAAATGAGCTAAGATACAGAGGAAGTTAAAAGTGTAAAAGATCATTCATCCAAACAAATTTGGCAAATTCAAGAAAATAAGTTACTTTTGTGTGCAGTTATATATTGGAACTCTGTGTGATTGTCATAATTTTTGTCTAAATGTAAATTGTTCCAAAATAGGAACTATTAAAAAATGTCAACATCCTGAAAAAAAAAAAGAAGGAAAATAAGTTACTTTCTAGAACAATGTAAGTAGGGTTACAACACATGGGATATGCACTAAAAATATTATTGCCTATCTGAAATTCAAATTTAATCAGGCAATTTTTGTTTGCTAAATCTGACAAGTTTACATATAGATGACAGATCCAAGAAGGGGCAAAAATCTAGGTGTGTCAACAATCATTAAAAAAAATTAAGAACATTACAGGAACATCAGCTTATTTTAACACCCGTCTAGAAAGTTTCTCAGATGAAGTGTGTCCTGCCTGCCCTTAAAGCCAGAGACCTGTCCTGCCAGTTAAGTTCCTGTAGTGAGGAGCAAGAAGGAAAATGTCCATATGTACTTTATGAAGCCAGCAAAGCACTGACCCCAAACCTGGCAAAGCAAACCACAGACCAGTTACATTTATGACACTCAACACAAAGTTCCTAAAGAAAATATTAGCAAAGAGAATCTAGCCACACATTAAAAAAATTTTTTTTTTAAATTTTTTTATTTATTTATGATAGTCACACAGAGAGAGAGAGAGAGAGAGGCAGAGACACAGGCAGAGGGAGAAGCAGGCTCCATGCACCGGGAGCCCGACGTGGGACCCGATCCCGGGTCTCCAGGATCGCGCCCTGGGTCAAAGGCAGGCGCCAAACCGCTGCGCCACCCAGGGATCCCCTAGCCACACATTAAAACAATCACATGTCCTGCCTACCCCAGTGGAGTGGACACCAGCACTGCAAGGAAGGTCTTCTCTTGGTATGCCCCTGGGTGTGACTCTTACCTCTTTCTTATCTTTAACCCAGAGGAGAAAAGCCTTATCACCATAGAGAATGAAGGAGCATTTGACAAAATTCAACACCCATTCTTTTTTTTTTTTAAGATTTTATTTATTTATTCAGGAGAGAGACAGAGAGAGAGAGAGAGAGAGAGTCAGAGACATAGGCAGAGGGAGAAGCAGACGCCTCATAGGGAGCCTGATGTGGGACTCAATCCTGGACCCCAGGATCAAGACCTGAGCCGAAGGCAGACGCTCAACCACTGAGTCACCCAGGTGTCCCTCAATACCCATTCCTGATAAAAACAGACAAAGGAAACAAAGAGAGAAACCCACCAAAAAACACCCCCACTGAATAAAATGGGAATGAATGGATATTTCTTTAACATGAATATATATCCCAAAACAGCAATAGCGACATCCGTTGGACATTGACCATGGGCTGGGTACTATTCTATTGCTGTATGTGTATTAACTCAATTCATATAATTCTCCTTAATGAAGTGGAGCTATAATTATCCCAATTTTACAGACATGAGGATATTGAAGTAACAATGCACCAAGGGTCATGCAGAATAAATGCCAGAAGTGAACGCTGGATACACTGGTGGAGAAAATGAATCTTGACTACTACCTCACACCGAATTCAAAAATTCATTTAAGACAAATCATAGGCCTAAATGGGGAAATTGCTCTAGCATTAATTATTAGTAGGACCTTTATCTTCCTCATTGAATTCTGCCACAAAAAAATCAAGTAAACAAATCCATCAAATTTTAAAACAAATTATAAATATACAGTTGTTAAAGCAGTATATGAATAAACCTAAGAAATCAGACACAATACAAACTCCACAAAGAGATGTAAATAAATACAGAAATCTTGTCTCTGCTAAAGGAGCATTTCAAAGCAGTAAGAAAAAGAAAGATAGTTAGCAATACCTATTGGAACAAGTGGGCACCCATCTAGGAAAATAATGAAGTGGGATTGATGTGGGAAACAAAGGTGGAAGAAAAATTATTAAATTTCCTTACTACCTACAGCCCACTGACAAGTCCTTGAAACAGGCAGAGTGACCTTCCTCTAGGGACTCAACTGTCTCAATGTCAATACTTTGCTAAGGGCAAAAGGCAACCTTAGCCCAACCCATAGGATCCTGTAAGTCTACTTTACCATATAAAAATTCCTTTAGAGGGATGCCTGGGTGACTCAGTGGTTGAGCCACTGCCTTTGGCTCAGGGCGTGGTCCCAGAGTCCGGGGATTGATTCCTACATGGGGCTCCCTGCATGGATCCTGCTTCTCCCTCTGCCTGTGTCTCTGCCTCTCTCTTTCTTTCTCTGTGTCTCTCATGAATAAATAAAATCTTTAAAAAATAAAAATAAAAATTCCTTTAGAAATTTCCTTTATCTCTTTATGCATGTTGGCGATTATCCCCCGAGCATACGGCCCATCGATATACATCTGAAGGGTCTCATGACTCAGGTTTTATTAGACAGTAAGTAATAAGTGACCTTTTCCCAAAAATAGCTAGCCCCCTCAAGGTCCTGGAAACCTTGCTTCCAAAATCCCTTAGAGACTCATGCTCTCCCTAACCCCCTCCCACCTTGAGAGTGTATAACAGGCCGCCCCTCATAACCCCAGGTGCAGCTCTTTCTGCCCACAGGTCCTGTCCCTGTGCTTTAATAAAATCACCTTTTTACATCAAAGATGTCTCAAGAATTCTTTCTTGGCCATTGGCTTCGAAACCTAACCTACATCAGGATCCCTACCTTTTTATCTACAACAAAACAAATTCCAGTCGGATCAAGATTGAAGGGTTAAAAATGAAACCATTGTAGATAAACCAAAAACCAAACTAAAATAAAACCTCACTAGGAAATTTTACTTACATTCTTAGAGTGGAGAAAGCCTTTTCAGGCATGACATAAAAACAAGAAGTCGTAAAAGAAAAAAAAAAAGACAGATGCATTCTAACACATAAAAAGTAAAAATTTTGATGCAGAAAACATCTTTAAAGACCAATGAACATTTGCAACGATGTGGCTGGATCTGGAGAGAATTATGCTAAGCAAAATAAGCCAGTCAGAGAAAGACAAATACCATATGATTTCACTCATATGTGGAATTTAAGAAACAAAACAAACAAGCAAAGAAAACAAGAGAGAAACCAAAAAAACAGACTCTTAGCTATAGAGAACAAACTGGTAGTAACCAGAGGAGGGGGTGGGGATGGGTGAACTAGGTGGTGGGGATTAGAAAGGACATTTACAGTGATGAGCACTAAGTAATGTACAGAATTGTCCAATCACTATATAATATGCCTGAAATTAATAGAACACCGTATGTTAGTTGTGGTGGAATTAAAAATCTTAAAAATAAAACATAAAAATAAAATTTAAAAGACCAATGAAAAACTTGAGGAAGATAGTTTCAGGACATAATACGATATGGGGTTGGTTTCTTTAATATTTAAATACTTAAATATTTAAAGTCGAAGACCGAGTATCCATTAGAAAGATGCACAGGGATATGACTCATTAGACCACAGAAAGCGAGATACAAATGGCTGCTTTATCATAGAAAAAGTTACTCAACCTCCCTCATAAATAAGCCTCGCCAATAAAAACAACAATGAGACCCCCACAGGGACAAAGTAAATAACTCCCGGCCCAGAAGCTTCCTCTGTAAATTCTTCCAAACACTGATAGAAGAAAAAACATCAATCTTACATAAACTCTTCCAGAGAACAGAAAAGAGGAAAGAAACATTGCTCAGTGCTTTAAATGAAGCCAGCATCATCCTAAGAACAAAACCTGACAAAGAAATGTCAAGAATGGAAAGTAGAGGCCCCTCCTCCACCTGTAAAATAAATAAATAAAATCTCTGGGGTGCCT